GGGGATTATTATTCATACCCCCCATTTTTGTTATTGGTACCCCCCACCCATGTAATAAATTATATTTTAGGAAATTTATTGATTATCATTAGAAAATAAACAAACATGAATGAAATTCTATCTACATAATTAATTTATTTTGAGTTAACTTCTGTTTGGACAAGTACGAATGTTATGTCCAGGTTGTTTGCAAAGGGTACATTGTCTTATTCTGCGATCCACTAATTCAAATCCGGAAGAATCTCTTTTGGTTGAGTTAGTTTGTCGGTGATTGGAGGTGCCAACAGGACGTCCTCTGGTGTGAACTATTTGGGGATTCTGCAAGATCAGTAATGGTGTGTTAATCATGTTGTTTAGCGTTACTCGTGTAGTTACTTGTTGATATTCTGGCCATTCTTTATACCTCTCTTGTAGATTCTGTAAGAGAGGCTGCAGTACATCTTCGTGAAGTACATTTTCCTCATATTGTGGTATCGGTGAGCGTTCTTGAATCCACCAATGTTCATGGATATCATCAAGCATTAAGCTCTGACGGTTTCCAAGACGTTGAATATCATGGGCACAAGGTAATCCCATTGTACTTGAGAAAGATCTGGTACATGACAATAAAGGTTCTTGTGTGGTGGCACGATTTGCCTTCTGATATTGTTCATTCACCTTTTTGAGAGCAAAAGTTGAAACTTTGTCCCTGATGTTCACGTATAAGAGATTGTTGTGCGCAAAAACTGGAAAACGAATGCGCTCTGATGCAATCATAGCATCAATTTCTCTTTTTTGGTTGGTTACCGCCAGAGATATTTTTGCACGAACTTGATGAAGATCTCCCGTTGATGTATTCAAATATGCTTTGAGAGTTGCATGCGCACCCTCAATGCGGGAGGTCACAGTCGTTCCTAGATGAAGAACCGCATTCGTCCACACCTTTACAAATTTCTCCTTCCATGGCATCCAAGTTTCCTCAAGATAAGTGGTGATACGGGGTTTATTAGCATAAGTGAAACAAAATGCTTGCCATTTTGTATTAAATTCATCTTCTGTTATTGATTGAATGACTTCATTCCATTTTGTAAAAAAGACTTGCCACTCATCGCTTTCGTTCTCTGTTTCTTTTGGGAACTGCGGCTTGCAATTCTTCATAACGTTTTTATTGATGTGCCATACACATAGCAAATTTGTCGAATTGGAAAAAATCGTTCTAAGAGCTTTTATGAGAGCCAGTTCTCTATCCGTCACAATAACTCCAGGTCTCGATATCCCATCAAACAAGCGAGCAACATGAGCCAAAGCCCACAGGTAATCCTCCTCTTCTTCACTTTTCATAAAAATAAAGCAAGAATAGAAGGTGGTATTGAAGCTGGTCATGCCGACTATATTTAGTAATGGCATTCTAAACTTGTTTGTCTTGTAGGTACAATCCATGAGAAGTACAGAGGAATATTGACGAGTAAGAGCGATAGATTCATTATGTGCAAAGAAAAGGTGAGTAATGCGACCAATGTTGTCACATTTGTATTCATGAATGAAATCACCCTCTTGAAGCTCATCCATAAGAGCCTGAATGGGCATACGACCTGCCAGGTTTTGCTGACGAAGTTGCTCTCGCGCATTGTAGATGTCGCTATTAATAACTAATATTGATGGATTATTCTGACGAAGGGCTGACACAATTTCTCGAGGACGTGAACCAGCAACAGTCATTTCCGCGACACTTGCTAACTGTTGTTCCGTTAGTTGACGAGCAATTGGATGTCCTGACATGTCTTCTGAACGTTCGTGATTATGATCTGTATTACGGATTTCTAGATACCATAGACTATCACGTCGGGTTGCATATAATTCAAAAGGACAGTTGATTAATCTGGTGCTTGTTTGTCTACGGTGTGTTTCTTCAATAAGATCCAAGGAGTTGTAAATACCACCCCGGTCGCAACGCAATGTCATATTCTTCAAGTCACCATAACGATCTTTACGAGTTCTTTTCTTCACTAATGCGTAACCCTGGGAATTGGCAAATTTTTGAACGCTCTGAAAAAGTTCATCGGCACTGCTGTATACCGCAGAAGGTGGTGGAAGCATGTTTTTATCTAGTCTCTTCGTGGACTTTTCAACTGTCTAAAGATTTCGATGACTTATTTGATTAAATGGACTAACACGTTTCTATTATGAATAATAGTGTCTATGATTTTTATGGATTAATACTTTTGCGATTTCTTCCCGGACAATTTATCCCTAAGTACTTCTCAATTTTTAAGTTTATTGCTTGATTTAATAGATCAATAATAGTTAGACCGAAAGATTATTTCATAATATCTTAGTAATTCGTTTTCTATCTTTATCACAACTCCTCTTACTATATTATTCCTCCAATTGTTGTTACTATGATCAGTTATACAAATCGGGTCTTTATTGTGAGACTAGCGATATCTTTTCTAGATTCATTATAACCCGGATTAGTGTATGTAGACGGTGTTACCCAATGGATCGTTTATCGTTCAACTGGAAGACTGTTCGATATTTTGGTGGATGATTAGGTAGGTTCTAACGCTTTTGTTAGTTATGATTGATTGCTAGTTTCTCACCAATAGAAGGTACGAATGATACTTTTATTCTTTTGTGATCTCTCAGTGATCACAGTCAACGAATCTATCAAGCAATACCTTCGTAACCTCTCCGTAGGCTACACAACCAACTTTTCAATGTAGAGTGCTTGGCAAGGAGGAATAATTTTTGTAGTAAAAGAACTTTATTTTATTCATGATTTATACATAGAATAGCATCAACTAATTATTAACTAATAAAGAATCTCTACTGATCAGTGATGAATCACTGTGCAAACAATCATCTTACGATTGATGATTGTTTACTCCGTTTCTCTTTAAACTACCCCACGCAAACACAACACCCCCAAGAAACATTTTTGGTTTACTTTGTTCGTTCGTTAGTAATTCAATTACATCGGCCAATTTTCTAATTTTGTCGAACACGATTCACGAGATCTTGGATCACGATGTTGCATGAAAATCTATGTGTGTCAGGTTACTCCGAACATCCAGAAAAATTTTAATTAACGTTAAAGCTTGTTTTATCATTTGGATTAGGGTTAGGGTTAGGACTGGAGCCAAGATTATATATACAATTGCCTCCCCAGCATTTTTTGTTAGTGCTTCAAGCCAGATTATGACATTTGTTTACCGTATTTTTTACATTTTTCGCATTTTTTATTTTCTTGTGCCGGTTTGTTTTGCCGGGCTGATCAAAAATTTGCGCACCCTTATTGGTTTGTGCCACTCGTGCCACATACATCAAACAATATATTCGGCGTAACCTGACACACATGCATGTAACAATGTATATTACGTGATCCTAGATCTCGTGCAATGTGATCATCATGTAAAACATGCAAGGGTGGGGGGTACCAATAACAAAAATGGGGGGTATGAATAATAATCCCC